GTGGTGGTGGTGGCGGGCAGTGGTGGTGGCGGGCAGTGGTGGTGGCAGGCAGTGGTGGTGGCCAGTGGTGGTGGCGAACGTGTGGTGGTGGCAGACAGCAATGGTGGTGGTGGCCAGCAGTGGTGGAGGAGCAGTGAAGGACAGTGGTGTAGTGGTGGACCGTGGTGAAGAGCGGTGGAGGTGGAGGACACCTGCAGGCCATGTCGTGCCATGTGAGGTGCTGCTGCTGGATGCTGCTTTCACATCAGGCCTTTCGGATTCTGAGTCAGGCATGAGGTGGTCAGTGCAGTGGCCTGGGGAGTTTTTGTCTGTCATGGCCTGTGGCCCCTTTGCCTGCACCCAGCCCCTTGATCATTCCATGGAAGACACCGACCATTCTGAGGGCCAGTTGGACAGGTTCTTGGCCTGTACTCCGCCCTTCCCGTCCATCCAGACTCCTGGCATTCTGTGGGGGCGGGAGGGCGGGCCAGGGTGAGTCACCTGGCCAGGTCAGCGTGAGGATGCTGACGGAGCCTCCCGCCCCGGGAGCTGAGTATCGGTTGGGGTGGGGCCTCTGTCTACTTCTCTTGGCTCACAAAAAATGACCACACTCTAATTGTCAGCTTTTAAGTCCATTAATTCTGTCAGATAATAAAATCTTGATATCTTTAACTGCTTTCACAAATGTGTGCATGTACTCTGCAAAGGCTGACGGGAAATCAAAACACGGCCCCGTGTGTGAACTAGAAAACTCTGTAAAAGGGCCAGCGTGCAGGTGAGGAGGGGGTTCAGGGAGGGTGCAGCCTGGACACCTCTGCCCCCCACTCCCCCAGGCAGGCGTCCTGAGTAGTCTGCAGTGGGGGCACTTGCTCATATTCTTGGTAGGTCCTAGGCCCTCCCTCCTTCATAAACTGCACGCTTGTGTGATGCACGGAGACACATTCCCTGCTCGTGTTTGTGTGCGTGAGCGTGTGATGCACAGAAACACGTTCTCTCAGAGTGTGTGTGTGTGTGTATGTGTGTGTGTGAGAGAGAGAGAGAGAGAGAAATACATGGACACACATTCCCTGAAGGGGTGTGTGTGGTATATGGAGACAACATTCCCTGATTGTGTGTGAGTGGTGCTTGGCAACACAGCAGCTGTGAATCCGTTGGGGAGTCTCATGGATGCACCAGGGCTGGCATATTGGCATGGTGTGTGGGGCCACTTGCCAGCAGGAAAGGGCTAGACTGCCTTTTGCTGGTTTCTTTCTGACTGCTGGTGGTGTCGTGAGCATAGGTGGCAGCCCTGGCCCGTCCCTCTCGTGCCTGGAGCTTTTCTCAGAGCTGTGTTTTGTTTGCACGGGTTTCTGTCAGCGTGAGGCCCTCCAGTGGGGAGCACCACTTGTCCGAGAGGACATGTCACCAGTGGCCAGTGTCTGGGCTGCATAGGGACCCTGGGCCGCTGCAGGAGGGACTCAGCACTGTTGTGTTCAGTGGTGTGGCTGCTGGAATTCACAGCCTTCAGTGAGGACACCAGCCACAGGCGGAACTTGGATTTTACCTTAAAGACATGATTTGCAACTTTGAGGAAACATGGTTCATAAAAAGAACTCACGTGTTCTTGAAAGTTGCTAGCTTGGAAACTTGGGTATTACTAGTACTTAAAAGTGGCACGCTGTAGTCTTTGTAGAATGTTCCTATAGCAGCAAGAGTGCAGTTGGTGTGAGGTCTGCTTTTTGGTGCCTCTGCTGAAATCATAGGCCCTGAGCGGGGCAAGTCTGAACGCGCACCCTCAACTTAGGCAGAAAGAGGATCTGGTCTCATCTGACGCAGCCTTTCCCTCGGTTAGGAAATCTTGGTATCACATTAGGCTCCCGGCGAAAGCGGACAGGTGCAGGCACCTGGAACACGCCTTGGTGTACAGATGCGCCCTCGCCGCCCTGCCCCACAGTGGAGGCTCCCTGGCCTTCTAAGCAGCAGCACAGCAGGGCCCGGGGCGCCTGGAGGAGTCAGTGCACAGGAAGGTGCTCTTGCATTTGTGTTTACCTGATAGCATCAGACCTGTTTGTCTCTGAAGCACTGGTATTGCAAGATGAGCCAGTTTCATTTTCAGAGTGTGAAATCAGGGCAGCTTTTCTTTATTTAGTCTAAATCAAACCTACTTTAATCCAACAGGCTTTATTTTAAAGCCTGAATTTTATACAGTTGGTCTGTAGTTGATTTGTCAGATTACTGTGGAATTCTCCAGGTGGTGCGGTTAGCTCTGTGTGTCTACCGAGGGAAGTCGAGGATACATGCATGACGCAGAGAACTGTGACAGTCACTCATGCCATTGCCAGGCCTCAGACTGTGTCCAGGGTTCAGCGTCGGGGGGTGGGGGACACATGCTCATGGGCCTCACTGCTGTCCTTTTACCACAGTGTTCTTTGTGAAATAGAAATAAAAGGAGCAAGCTACCCGTGGTCTCCTGTCCAGACTTCATAGTATCCTCCCCATTCCCTGTCCTGTTTCCCATCCCCTTATCCCTGTCCCGTCCTCCAACCTTGTCCCTGTTCCCTGTCCTGTTCCCCATTTCCTCCTCATCCTCATTCCCTGTCCTTTAACCTCCTCTCATTTCTGTTCCATCTCTTGTCCCCAATTTTCCTCCATCCCCATCCTGTCCTTTCCCACATCCCTCATCTCCATCCCGACCTGTCCCCCATCCTCATTCCCTGTCCTGTCCCCCATCCCCCTGCCCCCATTCCCTGTCCCCATCCCCTCATCACTATTCCCTATTCTGTCCCCATTTCCCTGCCTCCATTCCCTTTCCTGTCCCCATCCCCCTGCCTTGAAGTACATTTACTTGCTCTGCCACTACTTCCTTTATTTTGTCTAAAATCCCACCATTGATCTTAACTGAGTATCTGTCTCTTACCTGGGAGCCTGTTAAGGATCATTGATCTTACCTGGGGCCATGTCTTTGACACCCCCTCTATTGATCTCACCTGGGACCCCACCAGAGACCCCAATATGGACATCATTTAGGATCCCACCTGGGATCCTACCCAGGGCCTCACCCAAGGCTCTACCTAGAACCCCTCCCTTTCCTTAGCCTCTTTGCTCAGTGGAATTAAGGTGGGGTCCAGTGGGCACCCCTCCGCTGGCTTCTGTATGGCTAAGGCTGTGTGTGTGGTCCAGTGGGCACTTCTCCCCTGGCTTCTATGCTCTGTGTGGCTAAGGCCATGTGGGTTCCAGTGGGCATTCAGGTTTATTAGCAGCACCTATCGGTGATGGCATCACTGCAGCAGAGATTGGAATAAAGCTGAGTATGCTGTGAGCTGAGTGTCATGCCCTGGGGTTGTCCTCTCAGCTCCCTGAGGTGTTGACAGGACAGAGCATGGCCACTTCCCCATTCAGTGAGGTGTTTTTGTGGTATTATCTGTTGTATTTGTGATTACTGACCACCACAGGAATGTGGGGACCCTACAGGATGAACACAGGAATCCCACAGGGTGAGCACAAAGACCCTATGAGATGAGCATGGGGACCCCACAGTGAGCAAGGGTATCTCACAGAGTGAGCACAGGGACCCCACAGAGGGAGCATTGGAACCCTACACAGCACGGGGACCCTGTGGAGTGAGCATAGGAACCCTACAAGGTGAAGCCACAGGACAGCCCCAGGATGGGCAGTTTTCATTGATCTGAGTTGTTCAGACTTGTGTGTGGCCTGCAGCCCTGAGATGGGTTCTGGGTTCTGTGTGTTCATGACTGTTAGTCCCCTGAACACTGCCTTGTTCACCTGACACTGTCTGTGTGTACAACCCCCAGTGGGCCTAGTCCACCCTCTTGAGATTGCTTCCTCCCTGCCTCGTGCTCCTTGCTGCACCTATTTGTATGCCACTTGTGGCCCTGATATGTGGGAGTGAGTGGTGTGTCAGGGACACCCTGACACCTAGAGTTGATTGAGATCTCAGGGTAGGGGCTGACACCTGGGTTGAGGGATGTCTTAAGGGGCCCTGACACTTGGGGATTAGTGGTCTCTCGAGGAACTTGACACCTGGGGGTGAATGATGTCTCCTGGGCCTGATACTTGGGTGTGAATGACGTGTCAGGGAGGGTGGGGATGTTGACAGCTGGGAGTGAGTAATATTGCAGGGGGCTTTGAGCTGTGGTGCTGGAGAAGAGTATTGAGGGTACCATTGACTGCTAGGAAAACAAACAGATTCATCCTGGAGAGGGTTAAACCAGGTGGCTTCTTTTAGGCAAGGATTCTGAGGCTCCATCTAACATACTTTGGACATGTTGTAAGGAGTAACAGATCCTTGGAAAGGGACATCATGCTTGGTAGGGTGGAGGGACAGCGCAGGAGGGGAAGGCCCTCTATGAGGTAGATTGATTCAGTGACTGGGGTAATCGGGATGGGTGTGTCGGAGACAGTGCAGTTGGCACAGGACAGAGCAGAGTTTAGGGCTCTTGTACATAAGGATCGCTATGAGTCGCAAGCAACTTGACGGCACGTAACAACAACAAAAATATGTGGGGGTGAGTGGTTTCTTGTGGGACCCTGATACTTGGGGGTAATTGATATTTCAGGGACCCTGACACATGGGAGGTGAACGGTATCTTGGCAGTTTGTATAGGAGGTTTGACACCTGTGAGGATTGAGGTTTCTTGGGGTCCTGATTCCTGGGGATAAGTGGTATCTCAGGCATTGTTGATGGGGAGAGGAAGCAACACCCCAGGGATTCTGATATGTAGGCAGGATTAGTACTTTGGGTGGGCATTAAACCTAGAAATAGCTAAATGCCTGAGAGGATCAGGGGAGAGAGGCCACCACGTGAGTGATGGAGGCCTCAGGGGTTTGATGCTTTATGGTGAGGAGGGGCAGTGCCTGATGGGCAGGTGACGAGTCGCAGTAGATGGCCCCATATCACTGTGAGCCCTTCTCACTAACGTCCACTCTCTCACAGCGCGCTGGTGATTGCCACTGTGTTTGACCGGGATGTGAACTGCAGAAGAGCTGCCTCAGTAAGTACTCATTTTCCCCTTTTCGTGAAAGGTGGAGCTGACTCTCAGCACCCCTCAGATTGTCTCCTTGCCCAACATCTGGGATGCATTATCCCGCCCAATGTTACCCTCTGGTGCCTCCCTTGCCATCTGAGGCAAGAGGACAGTGAGGATAGTATTGGCAAGGCCACCTCACAGGGGTGGAGGTTGCAGGGCCAACAGTTTCGAGGTTTAGGGGCAGAGGCCATGGTGCCCTTGCTTTGTGCTGGGTCCTAGTCTGAGGGCAGGTCAGCACCAGGTGCCTGCATCAAGGAGACAAGAACAGAGTAGGTAACCGGACAGGGCTCAGATGGATGTCCAGGAATGAGGCGTGAGACTGGCTGTGAGCAGACCCCTCATACTGGGCTGTGCCAGGCTGTGCAGGGGCCACTGGAGTGTATAGGAAAGTAGAGAACGTGCCAGGATGCCAGGGTATGGGATAGTCAGAGAGGTGCTGGGGTAGAGAGGTATATGGAGTGCTGGGGTATACCAGGATGTACGTGCTATATACTGTACGTGCTATGTGATGTACGTGCAGTGCTGTACGTGGCGTGTATGCACCTGGGGTGTCCTGTGCAGCCACCAGTGAGCTTTGTGTTTTCTGTACACTCACTGTCACATTCACACTGTGCTTGACATAGCGGAGGTTGGGAAGCTGGCACAAGATGTGGCAAAGAGTTTGATCTGTTGCTCATGATCAACTTAACAGCCCCTAATGAGAGCATCAGCTGTCTTACGGTGTGTAGTGACCTCATATAGGGGGTGTGTGTATGTGTGTTTATACACACACACACACATACATAAATACATACATACATATATGCAGTTTACGTATAACTATACTTGCTTTACCTATAACTTATGCCTATTGTGTCAGAGACACTAAGATTGGCACAGGATAGAGCAGGGTATAGGGCTGTTGTAGACAGCGTTGCTATGAGTCGCAGGCAACTCAGCGGCACATGACAACAATTCTTCATATAGTTATATTTTTAGAGTGACTTAAGAAAACTGCTCACTTGGCTGTGGAGGCCAGCCAGTTCCTGGTCAGTGACCCACTATGATGTCTTGGTGGGTTCTGGACATAATGTGCTCCAGTGAGCCCCCATGCTTGTTTCATCATAAACACTCTGGAAGAATTTTGTATACATATATATTTGGCAAATACTTGAGATACTGAGCTAATGCATTGAGACTGTATGTGGAATTAAAAGCTTCAAATATCAATAAGAAAGCAATTCAGGCATTTAGTATACAAACATAATTAAAAAAATTTTTATTGGTTTGTACAAAATTCTTGGGATTTTCTTTCATTTATATACACACTTCTTCATACATTTCTTCTTTCACATTATGTTTCATATAATGATTCATGTATTCTCTGTTTTACAAAACTAATTACCATTGATCTGTGGGCTGCTGTTACCCTGTCTTTTCAGGTCCCCATTAGATTTTTCCAAATTCCTTCATCTTTTATGCTTATCTTACTAGTTGTAAAGAGGAGGGGGATTTGTCACTCACACAGTTGTGAGGTTGGCAAGTCCCAAGTCTGTGGGTCAGATGTCAGGCTGGAGACTGCCTGTCTCGTGTGCCTGCAGAGGCTAACAGACCCAAGATGGGCAGGTCAGATAGCAGACTGCTAATGCACAGGCCCTGAAGACTTGCCAGCTCTCAAGATTGAAAGGATTGGGGTAGGCTGCTGGCCCAAGTCCAAGGAACTAGCAGTCAGAGGATGGTGAGTCGAATGCAGGATATGGGCAGAGGGAAAAAACAATGTTTACCAGACATCTACATATTTAGGGCACAAGCTGGACCTCTGGGAAACTCTCTTTTAATGGATTGGCTGCTCATAGCAGATCTCATCATGAAGGAAAAGGACATAATAACTACCAAACTACTGAGAACTGTGGCCAGGCCAACTTGACACACAACCTTCACCACCACAGCATGGAATAGATAGCAAAATATGTGAGCTGTAAGTTTATGATGAGCCTTCTTCCAGTCCTGATCCTATTTTTCATGTAATTTAGCTTCTCGAATTATTAGATCCGCATACAGATTGAATTAGTGTGGAGAAAGGATACAGCCTGACAAATAACCTTTTTTATTTTAAACTTGACATTTTATTTTAAAATTTTATTTTGTTCTGTTGTTCAAGTATTGGCATTTGCTGCAGAAGGTCAAGGACTGCTGCTTTCATTATGGATTGAAGCTCAACATTTAAAAAACAAAGATTCTCACCACTGGGCTGATTGGCAGCATCTTGATAGTCAGTGGAGAGATTGAGATTGTTAACAGCCTCAGTTTGCTTGGTTCCACGATCAGCACTCTTGGTACCAGCAGCCAGAAAATCAAAAGACCAATTACATTGGGAAAATCTCCTGTCAAGGAGCTTTCCAGGGTACCAAAGAGCAATGATGTCATTCTAGAGACGAAAGTGTCCCTGATCCAGGCCATGGTCTTTCTTCACAGTTTGCATCAGAAAGCTGGACAGTGACTAGGAATGATAGAAGGAGAATTGATACCTTTGAGCTGTGGTGCTGGAGAAGAGTATTGAATATACCATGGACTGCCAAGAGAACAAACAGGTTCCTCCTGGAGAGGGTGAAGCCAGGCTGCTCCTTGGAGGCCAGGATTCTGAAGCTCCATTCTACACATTTTGGATGTATTGCAAAGTAGGACCAATATTTGGAGAGGATATCATGTTTGAGAGGATGGAGAGACAGCACAGGAGGGGTAGGTCCTAAATGAGAGGGACTGACTCAGTGACTAGGGTAATGGGGGTAGGTCAGAGACAGTACGATTGGCTCAGGATAGAGCAGGGCTCAGAGCTGTTGTACTCAGTGGCAACTCAGTGGCCCATAACAACAACAACAACAACATGCCATTTCCCCTTACTCAGCTTGAACAACTGTTTCTTGGTCTAAATAAAGGTTTTGAATGAGTGCAATTAACTGTTCTGGGAGTCCTGTTCTCAATACTGTCATTTTTTATTATCCACACAAATGCTTTTGAATAGTTAATAAAACACAAGTAAACCTCTTTCTGGTATTCACTACTTTCAGCTATTATCCACTTCATATCAGCAGTGTTATCTCTTGTGCCATGGCCTTTTTTGAATCGAGCTTGAATTTCTGGAGGTTCCCTGCCAGTGTAATGTTCCAACCATTTTAAAATAATCTGCAACTTGCATATGATATTAATGATGTTGTTGTTGTTGTTATGTGCTGTCGAGTTGCTTGTGACTCATAGCGACCCTGTGTACAACAGCCCTAAACTCTGCTCTGTCCTGTCGCAGTTGCACCGTCTCTGACACTCCCATCCCGATTACCCCAGTCACTGAATCAATCCACCTCACAGAGGGCCTTCCCCTCCTGCGCTGTCCCTCCACCCTACCAAGCATGATGTCCCTCTCCAAGGACCTGTCCCACCTTGCAGCATGCCCAAAGTATGTTAGACGGAGCCTTAGAATCCTTGCCTCCAAGGAGCAGCCCAGTTTGACCCTTTCCAGGATGAATCTGTTTGTTTTCCTAGCAGTCCATAGTACCCTCAATATTCTTCTCCAGCACCACAGCTCAAAGGCATCAATTCTCCTTCTATCCTCCTTAGTCATTGTCCAACTCTCTGATGCATAACAAGTGATTGCAAAGACCAGGGCCTGTATCAGACGCACTTTAGTCTCGAAAGAGATGCCATTGCTCTTCAGTACTTTGGAGAGGTCCCTAACAGCAGACTTTCCTATCACAATACGTCTTCTAATTTCCTGACTGCTGGTGCCAAGAGTGTTGACTGTGGAGCGAAGCAAACTGAAGCTGTGAACAATCTCAGTCTCTTCACCATCCATCCTGATGCTGCCAGTTGGCCCAGTGGTGAGAATCTTTGTCTTCTTGACACATATCCTTGATGGATCACCATTTTTTGGAATGGGAATAAATAAAGATTTCTTTCAGTCCAGTTGATTAGTTAGCTGTACTCCAAATTTGTTGGCATAGGCTAGTAAAGACGTCCAGGGCTGTATCAGTTTGTTGAAGCATGTCAACATCCATCATCAACATGTTGAAGCATGTCAACAATTTTAACTGTTTCTGTGACCATATATTTTGTTAATGGTTCAGTGTGGCTTGAACATCTTCCTTTGTTACCATTAGTACTGATGATATGCTGCTCTCTGAAATGATTCAGTGTTGGCCAGTTCTTTTTGGTACAGCACCTCCGTTTTCTTTTCCTTCCATTTTCTTTTGATTCTTCCTGCATCATTCAGGATTAGCTCATAGAATCCTTCAGTATTGCAATTTGGGGCTTGAATTTGTTCCTCAGTTCTTTCGGCTTGATAAATACTGAGCATGTCCTTTTCTTTTAATTTCTAACTACAGCTCTTTGCACATTTACTTGTAGTACTTTGCTTCATCTTCTCTGGCTGCCCGTTGAGATCTTCTGTTCAGCTGTCTTAGTTCAGTGTTCCACCCTTTTGTTTTGGTTTCTTTTTGTACTGGGCAAATTTTCTCCCTGGCCCCCCACCCCCACCCCCCCAGCTTGCTCCTCTCTTTGAAAAGTAAAAGAAAAATTCTTTCTTTGGTATACAGTCCCCCTGCACCCCTCCCACCGCCACAAGTACACTCCACTATGCAAACTTAATTGTGGACTCTTGTGATAACTATAATACCCTGTCATATATCACTTTTAAATTATTCTCTCCCTCATCTGTTTCAATGTAGTATACACAATTCATCCAGTTTTTCTCAGTCTTACCCCAACCCTGATGTCAGTCCCATTTTACAGCAGTGGCACCATGCAGTATTTGTCCTTTTGCGACTGAGATACTTCACTCAGCATTATGTCCTCCAGGTCACCCATTTTGAGTAATATTGCATGAGTTCCTTGTTTTTCAATGCAGTGTAGTATTCCATTGTGTGAATATACCATTCGTTTGTTGATGCCGTGATATTCTCTTATAGTTCATCTGTTCTTCTAGTATTCAGTGC